CAGGGAGACCACCAAGTGAGGAGAGGACAAAGCTCAGCTGATGCTTCTACAAGCCAAGGATCACGAAAGACTGCCAGCAAAGCAACCGACCTCACAGATCTCAGGAAGAACCAAGCCTGCCAACACCTTCATCTCAGACTTTTGGCCTCCAGAGCTACAAGACAACACATTTCTGTTGTTTAAATCACCACTTTGTGACACTTTGTCAGAGCAGCCCTAGCAAGGTAATACCCACCATTTTGTTACCACAGATTTATTTTATACACATTCAACAGACACCAAACACTGCCGTAATAGTGAAAAAAAAATGGTAAACCTCTTCTGTGTATCACAGCAATCAAGTTCCCTTTAAAAAGGTTTAGAAAAAGCACAGTAATGATAATCCTCATCAAAATGAGATTTTAATTTAAGTAGCACTGTGACACAAGACCTTTTCACTTAAACCTGGTATCATGATTTGAAAATTATTCGTTGCAACTATGTAGGCAAACTCGTGAAAAAGCCCACTTCTAGTTCTCTGCTCACCTAACATACATCGGGAGAGTGTTCAATTTTACTGCTCATCTTCAATATCAGCAAATGTTTCTGATTATAAATTACCATTTAAACTACATGGCATAAACTTTCTTAGAAAATAAAGATAACAGAATATTTAAGGTTATGTGATGTACATACCAAGTGTAACTTGATAATGCAAAGTTAGTTGCCAAAAGCAGCATACTTGTTTTAGGGTCCTATCTTTAAACACTAAATATTAAAGTGTATTTTTAAACTTTTTTTCAGTGACCACTTTCTGAAGATATTTTAATATGGAAAACTTCTTAGATACAAAAAAGAAACCTGATCAATGAAGCAAAATATAATAAATGTTAACAGAACATCCGGCAAAAGAAACTTCTGAATGGGATTTTATGTAAGGTCTATTGAAAGCAAAAACAAGGAAAAGGAGAAAGAACCTATAAATTGAGATTTAAGAGACATTATCAACCAAACCCTACAGATCTTGTTTGGATTTTGATTTATAAAACCAACTTTTAGAAGAATTTATGAGACAATAAGGGACATCTGAACACCCACTCACTGGATATTTGATATTAATAAATTATTAATTTTTACAGGCAAGAATGGCATCAGATCATGTTGAAAAGGGGAGGCTCTTACCTTTTAGGGACTCATACTGAAGTAGTTATGGAAGAAACTACACTATATCAATTAATTAGCAAGAAATTGGAAAATCCGTAGAATCCTGTTATTTGTATAAGCTGTTAAACTAATGAGAGTTACAGTGAAAAACCCACGACTCCACTGCATTCCATTATACAATCCTCTACTTTAAAAAAAAATGCTCAGGGGAGGAGGGCATAGCTCAGTGGTAGACCACTGTACTCAGCATGCATGAGGTCCCGGGTTCAATCCCCAGCACCTCCATTAAAATAAATGAATAGGAAAGCAAAAGTCGTCACCATAATCTGCAAGTAATGTCTTTTGATAAGGGAAAAGTCAACAAAAGTCCAAGATATTTAACACTTTCAATTCTATAGAAAAGTATCTGACTAATGGAAGCATTTTCCTTTACCAAGGAATTACTTGACAAACATATCCTATGACATATTACACAGAAGTAGGACCATACCAGTAACTGGTATGGCCTAGAACATCTTGAAGAAATGCTTACTTTGCTAATACAGAGTTAGATGAGTTTCCCCTATGTCTAAGGGGAAAATGGTTGTAACAGCTTTGGTAGAAAATCACTGAAATTAAATCTTTTAACTGTGAAACAAAGATAAAATAGAAGAGCATAAAACAAAATAAAAGCAAGCTTTATTAAAATACTAGGGAAAAAATCATAGTATGCAGGGAAAATTTGGGTAACAGGTGCTTCTGGGCTCTTCTACTCTGGAAAGTAAAAACTCTTGGGTCTTCTACACTTTCCACCTGTAGAAGAGGTCAGATTGGCTTCTCTGTCTCTCTAGTCCCATTTCCTGAGCCTAGTGAAAAATCCTTGACCTTCAAAATACCTGGTTGACTGGAACAAAGATGACATTTGTAACTAGGCATGACCATGTGATACAACTTAAGCCACTGAAACCTCAGTGAAAGTGCTGTGTGTTAGCATCCAGATAAATCTGCTTAAAAGACACTGGACACACTTTTTACCTCTTTTTCTCTCCATTCTAGATATTCTGCTGCCAGGGATGTCTGAAACTCTAATAGCCTTCTTTGAAACCAAGTTTTATCTTGTTCAAGCAATCACTAATTTGGCTTTTTTCTGTAACTGGAAAAAGAACTTAATCCTAGATGGCACAAAACCATATTATTACACATATTATATTACTTTGTGATTAGTTACTCAACATAAATAAGTACATGTAAATATAATGCTAGAAGGCAAAGAACCCTAGAAGGAAATATCACAAATGGTATTTCTACTATTTTCCTACTAACTTCTAAGAATAAGAGAAAGGAGGAATTTAATGCTTCACCCCCACTGCTCCCAGACACAACAGGGGTAGTTAGCATGGTTACTGCAGGTAGATTAACTCCCTATATTCATTATTCCTTCACTCTTTCATTCAGCAAACATGTATCAAGCATACTATGTGCCATTTACTAAGGTGCCTGAATAACACAGAAAAGATCCCACTTTAAAAAAGTTAACACTCTAGTAAAAGGTAAAAGGCACTGGATATTTAATGGGGGAATAATAGACAAAGAGCTTTGTTACTCTTCCACTGAGAGTACATTTTCACCATTAAAAATATAAATCAACTATAATTCTTATTTAAAATGAAGGTGCTGAACAAAAACCAAAACTATTTAACATTTTTTTGCAAGTAGATCAACTGTTTCTATGAACTCTTACTTGTGAAGAGAGAGTATGTTTTAACCTAGCTTTTAATCCCATAATGGCAAAAGATTCTTGACACTTCCTAACATCTTGAAACTTAATTTCTACAGAATGAAAAGGAACATAGAAATGACAATGACCAAAAAAAATTTTTTTTGGTAAGAAATTTTTTTGGTAAGAAATTTACTCAAGAAACTTATAATCTAATTGAACCTTCAGGAACAGAGATAATCTAGCCTTATAAGGAAACTGTTGATCACCACCAAAATTTGTAGTGTCTAAATAAGACAAAAAGCCAGATTATGGAAAGGCTCAAGCAATTTCTAAGTCTGCCAAGGCTTCAATAGGAACATATTTTTACTCTCAATCAACTGATAAAAATTAATATTGGGTAATAAGTGATTGTGGACCTGGAGGTTAACATTATAATGAATACCTGCTAATTAACCTAGGTTATGACAGACAGTAGATCAAAGCTAGACTGTAAATCTGTAAAATACAACATAATGAAAGAGAGTGAACTGGAGAAGCAGCCAAAAGTCAGAGTCAGCCAACCGAGGGCAGAACAAGTCATGCATTACTGATGTTTTCCTTATATACTGATGAATATTGACAAATGGCTTGAAAAACAATGGTTTTAGTAATTTCCTCAATAGATCTCTGCAGATGAAAAGAACTAATAAACATAACTTTCCATAAAGAGATGGTTTAAGCACTTCAAACATGAACCCCTTGAACAAGACATTCCACATCGTAATTCATTCTATGGAAGGCAATTTATGCAATGGAACTGACATATAATGTATTATAATATAAAGTAACTGTAGTAAAGCTGTACATAGGCAAAGCAAGATACAGTCTTGATACAGTTAGCACATATGCCACAATATGGCATAATTTAGGAGGGACAAAATACATTATAAATATTGTATATTTATAATCAAGTATGATTATTTCAATACAAGTTAAGGCAATACAGTGCTTTTAACATGTACAATATATTGAAGGGTATTAATATTACAGGACACATATATCTGATTCCTAGAGTATTAAAAATGGTTACTACATATACTGAGATTTTATTATGCTTCAATATGCCTTTTACACTCAAGTGGTGACTAAACCAATAACCTTCATTCTCTTGCAGTATTTTTTATGAAACTGAATTATTTGAATTGAAAAGTCTACCTTTTCATATGAAAGTATTCATGTCACAAAAACTGGTGGTATCACCTAATGTCATTGTTCAGTCTCAATAAAGATCAAGATAAGCAATTCTCTCTGAAAATGGACTTTAAAGGACCCAGATGAAGTCGTCTTAATTAGAATTTTATCAGATTCTCAGCTGAGTGTGATATTTAAAGAGGAATCAGTACACCTACAAGTGTGATGATCTTATTGTTAGCTGAACAGTTTTACAAGACCTTAAGTTACTCAACAGGAAATACCTAGGTAATAGTACTACATTTCCAGAGTTACACTGGATATACCTCTTCCCAAAGCAGTCAAAACCAAAAATAACCAAAGATGACACCAAAACCACCAACTCAAGATATGTAATGCTTTTAGAAAATTATATGGGATTTCCTACTGCAGTCAAGACCAGACGAAAATCATGAGCCAACAGTTTCAGCATAAAATTAAGAGAAGAGAATGAAACACATTTATCCAGATATCTCCGTTAAAACCTCTTCCTCATTTCAAGACTTAATAATAAATTAAGCGGACATATCTGACATGCCCTCTCAGAATTTTAAGGATGAAATCTAAATGCCACTCCCCCCCAGAGAGGCAGGAAACGGTTTTCTTCCGATTCCAAGAAAGTGGTCAAAGCTAAGGTGTGTAGTTAGAGACAAAAGACTCTTTCCATCTGTCAGAATGAGGAGGGGACTTGTCACTGTGGTTGGACGGAGTGGGCGGTGGGAGGAGGAGGAGGCGGGACTCAAATCTTAACTGCTGCACTTGATGGTCCCGGATCTTAAGAAATGTAACCATGCCGGGCTGGTGTAGATGCGAGAAGACAACTCAGCAGCAGAGGTGGTGGCAAAGGCAAGACCTGCACCTCCTGGTGAGGAGCTACGTGGCACTAAGCAAACAGTGCTTCGTCTCCCCCACCCCTGCTTCCGCCCCAACCCTTTTCCCCTTTGGTTACCAGTTGCTCCAGATGCCGTAGAGTAGTTCAACAAAAGCGAAAGAGAGGTTCAGGCACAGGAAGAAAAACAGGTTCCGAGACGTCTTGTCGGACAGGATAGACCTGGGCAAGACACAAGTGGAGAAGAGCCGGGGAAAGTCAAAGGGGTGCCAGGACCCGGAGGCTGGATTCCCCTTTCAAGACCCTCCCAGTCCACACGTTCCTTTCCGCACAACGAACGAGGAGGGTGTCCCTGACGCTCCCTCCCTGGACCTCGGGTCATTCTTAGGTCTGGGCCTTCTCCCCTTCTGCCGGACACCCCCTTCCCGCAAACACAGCAGCCCGCACCTAAACCAGCCTGAGATCTTGCCGAACAGATTGAACTTGGGTGGTTTGTATTCATCGTCCTTGATGGACAGGGGCAGCATCTTCTCTGCCCGGCGAAGGGCCGGGTCTACTCCCGTCTAGAAGTGGCTCCGTGGGTGATGGCAGTGACAGCGGCGACGCCTCAGATGGGAATCCCCAGCGCTCGTCCCGGGCCGCGCGCCGCCTGGAGACACAGACAGACTCAGACACACACCCGGGACCCCGCCGACTTCCGGCCCGGGCCGCGCAACGCGTCCTGGGACGGGAACGGGGGAAGGCGGGGCCGGGGCGGGGCTTGCGCCGCAGGGGCGGGGCTTACGGCCCGGGCGAAGTTGCGCGCGATTTGTTGTGGGCAAAAGGGGGTGGTGACCACCAGGTGGCCGCCCTGGAGTGGAGTCCCGCCGCTTGCACTCAGGAAGAAAATTCCGAGGTTGCTAGCCGCAGACTGGGCTGGATGGGAGGTTGAGAGCCCGCTTACGCCCACCCCGACCGCCTACCACTGATGTTTCCGGATGCGCCAGCGTCCAGCGCCTGCCCTTTCGCCATTTCCCCTGTAAGCCTTAAATCTCGGTGCACTAGGAAGGTAGTTTAAAGAATCCAGCGGGCAACGCGATCTCTTGCCGCCACTCGGCAGGAAGCGCGAATGATGGTTTTGCTGGGTGAACTCGATGGGAGCCCAAATCCTAGTGATCCGCCCCGCCCCGCCCCCTGACCTTTCCGTACTGCCACGCGGGAGACAATCAGTAAATGTCTTTCGAAAAAATGTTCAGTGTATTTAAGAGCCCTTTAAAAGCAGCTCCTACGGGACAGTGGTGAATTGAGGTTTGGGTAGGGCATTGCCTCCACGACAATCTCAATCCGTTGCTAACCCATAGCTCAGGTTCGAACGCGCCCCCTTCACTTCCAGGTCGCCCCGGAGGCCGCGGCCGCGGCTCTAATTCTCGTCAGAACCCCGCTGCGCATTTCAGGGACGTGCGGGAAAAACTGGCTCGGCTGTGGGACGCGAGGGCGTGCGCAGCGCAGGGAGGCGAGACTGGCGGGCCTGTCCTGGGCGCCCGCGGTCGCTGGGACTCATCTTCGGGCGCTTCTCCGGGAAATCGTTTGGGTAAGGTTCGATGGTCCATCACTGAATGATTAAAAGTTGTCACCTCAGGGGAGAAAAGGGGAAGGGGAGGACTGGCTTTTGGAGGTGGGCTAGAAACTACAGAATCGAGCTTCTTGGGAACAGCCTCTTAGTCTGACGGGAAGTGGAGCGTCACCGAAAGGGAGGGGCAAGCACCCGGGGCTGTCCCCTGCTTCAGGCTCCGTCTGCGGGCAGTGTTTGCCCAGGTTATCAGTTCAGCGAATCATGTTGGGTGGATGCACTCTGATGGCTTAGAAAAAACAAAAAACGAACAAGGGAGACGCCCCTCCCGTTTTATGATAACCAAGCTGCAAGTAAATAAATCGTCTGATCCCACTGCAGTCTTCTGCACTCAAGGTAAGGAAACAGCAGAATGTTCTCGTGTTAGAATATTTTTTGCAGTGAGGATGTGTGTTTTACGCTCCTTCTTGGACTTTTTGAATGTGTAGGGTAGTGATTCGGTGGTTTTATTTTTTAAAATATAATTTACTTATTCTACAATTTTTTAAATGTTCATGTTAGTTAAAACTGTGTAAAAACAGCTAGATTCCAGAAATTAAGTTCTAGAAAGAGTATTTTGTCTTTGCCTTGCTTGACATATATTTCATTATTTTAGCTTAAACAGAAATATTTTCAATTAATAGTATTTACTTACATTTTTAGAAAACTGAATTTTACTCTACTGCACTGATGGGGAAACATTAAGTGGGTACAAACTAGGTTAGAGATAAATATTTCCATGGCAATTGAGGTTTTCCCCCCAAAGCTTCTTTATTTCAATATGGTGTAAATTGGAGGTTGGGGGGAGGATATATAGAAATAACTAAATTTCAACAACTGATTTCCAGCGTTCTCTTAACTCATCAAGGTCAGCTGCAACTTGAGCCTGTGTTTTTGTGTTCTGCCTTTGAAATAAATTCTGCATTTTATCCTATGTTGCTGCAGATGAGAAATTGCTCAGCTGGTTTATGGAGAAATCTGCAGTACCCTTTTTCAAATAGTTTTGAAATAAGTTGGAGAAACTGAAGTTTAATTTCAGATATATTGGTTCTAAATTCCTCTATTTCTGTCCCCCAGCGTATAAGATAACTAATCCCCGGGGGCCTTCTTTCAAAAAGCGGCAATGACACTTCGCATTTTTCATTCTTAGGTGACATGGTTACCAACTTCAACACTAAAGGCATTTTATTAGAAATATAAATTGCATACTATTTAAATCAGGAAAAGTTCTATAAGTGGAAAATGTTTGACTGTGTCTCATTTCTTTTGTCATCTTGAAATAATTTTGTCCCATATATGGTAACTGATATATGTTGTCACATCATAGTTAAGTTAGTTTCTTTCATTCATTCAACAGACATTTAATGAGTGTCTACTATATGCTAGGCTTTGTGCTGGGTGTGGGGTGGGGGAAAGGCAGTGGGTTGCAAAGCCTGGTAAGTCAAATTTCTTTCCCTGGAGGAATTTTATGGGAAGAAGAAGCTGATGTGAGGAGAGGGCAAATCAGTCCAGGGTTTTAGAACTGCGAGATGTTTAAGATGTGTACAGGAGATGCTTTGGGTGTAGCGAGGAGGGACACCTGTCACTCAGTGAGTCTTTAGACACTTGTTAAGCCATCCTTTTGCCCCTCCAATAATTTGTATCATGAAAGAATATGATTTTGGGAAATCAAAAATGATTCTTCGGCTCTATTCAGATGGTCATTACAGATGCAGTATCTTGCAATTCTCCAATCAATTTTTAATTTCTTCATATGCTATAAGATTAAATGGGTTTGTAAATTACAAAATACATATATTAATGAACATTTTTAAGCTAATAAATGGATTTCTACCCTGAACTTTTTAGTATTTGTTTAGATCATCTACTAATTAATTGCATTAGGTTAACTACGCAGACTCTATGGGGAAAAAACCCCAGCTTCTCCAAACATGTGACTGAAGACTGAGAAAGAGAGCAGAGAGGATTAAGGGGCAGAAGCTCATCTCCTCCAGCCAAGGGTCCAGTTCCTTTTGCGCAACAGTCAGTAAGGAACAGGAAGAATGCCATCTGTCATTCCTCAGTAATCCACCTGGCATTTATCTGCTACCCTATTTTGGACCCTGTGGTTTTTAGTACTTCATACTGAATGTCCTATGAACCTTTAGTGAAAAAAGGAGTTTTGATGGTAGATAAAACTACAGATATTTAAAAATCTGAAAATTGAATACAAGTGCAGATTGCTAATGCGTCCAGAGGTCTTGCTCCCAGGCACGTATGTTCTGGTTTCAAATGTGTAAACACATTAGATCATCAGGCGATGTGAGTTTATTCTGCTTCTGGGTACTTAAGAGAAAGATGAAAACGAGAATATAGCAGTGTTAGCACCTACCTGACAGGAAGACATCGTCTACCTAATTGCCTAAGTGTAATTTTTAGAACACAGTATAGCAAATTTTAAAAACAATTCAAAACCTATGGATTATGGCATTAAAAAACATTATTTAAAAAAATTCCTGCTGATTGACAGAAACATCACAGAAAATTCTTTGATTTCCCTTAATAGTGCCAAGAGAGCCTGTACCTGTCAATTACTGAAGCCGTAAGGAAAATTTTTTAAACAATTAAAACTTTACCATAATGAGGTAAGTACCAGTGTCATTTTTTTTACTTTTTAAAAATAGTGGTAAAATACACAGAACATAATATTTGCCATCTTAACCATTTTGAAGTATGCAGCTCAGTGGTGTTAAGTGTATTCACAGTGCTGAGCAGCCAAAATCAAGAACGTTTTCATCCTGCAAAATGGAACTCCACAACCATTAAACAACAACTTCCCATTTCTCTGTTCTCCAGCCCCTGGCAACCACCATTCTGCTTTCTGTTTCTATGAATTTGACTACTCTGGATTCCTCATGTAAGGGGAATCATACAGTGTTTTTCCTTTTGTGACTGGCTTCTTTCACCAAGCATGATGTCCTCAAGGCTCATCCATGTTGTAGCATGTATCAGAAGTTCCTTCCTTCTAAAGTCTAAATAATATTCCATTGTATGTCTATACTACATTTTGTTTATCTGTTCATCTGCCAGGGAACATTTGGGTTGCTTCCACCTTTTGGCTATTGTGAATAATGCTGCTCTGGACGTGGTGAAGTACTAGTATTTTTTATCTAAGAAAAAATGTTTCCTACAGGGTTATTTTCGCTTCCTTGGAAATAAGAGTTTTTACTTAAGCAAGCGTCTGTTAGAAAATACTGTGATGCCTCTTTTAGGTCTTATCCGTTGAAACAGTAGCCCAGATTATAGAATACAGTCAATGCCTACAAAGTTCAAATATTTTTGTAGACTAGAACAGAGCTGAAAATAGAGACTATGCAAAAGACACTGGATATACAAAGTGGGTCAAATGTGAGAGTTGGGAGTTTGTTCAGACCTGCCACTCTTTCCATGGCTCAGGAAACGTCATTTAATCTTCTCAGTCTCAGCTATCCCATCTACAAAATGGGGTGGATATATTTTAATTCCCATCATTCTAGAGATGTGAAACATTACCAATTTGAGATGTTAGGTAACGTAAAGGAGGAAGAGGTCTGACAACTCTCATTACTTTTTCTAAACTCTCTCAGGACGGGAATCAGTGGTCTTGCTCGTCACCATCCCTAGTACCTGACAGTGCTGGGCACACGGTAGGCACCGATGGATGTTTGTGGACTGACAGATAGCTACAATAAAGTCTAATCAAGCTAATATGAGTTGAGATTGCTTCCCTGTTAATTTTGACAGCTAAAACTATTTACAACTCGTAATTCATATGCACGAAATCTGTTTCTCTGAGAGAAGCAATTTTAAGAATGTGAGTGTTTTGCTGCAAATGAATATTGTATAAAAAGGAGAGCGTTCCATAGAATATTCCAGGAATCTGTTGCCCAGCAATTTTGCCTCCCCTGCATTTTCCTGTGACTAAAACAGAAAGAAGTTCAATGAAAAACTTCGGTATTCTGGAATGGTAAGAGTAATATATTTGCAGATGTACTTGGTTTCCTTTTTGACCCATTTCGGGAACTAATTTTGCATGGCGCTGTGCTGAGCTAAAAATGCCTTTCTATTCCTAGGCTTTCTTAGGATGCATTGACTTCTTGGATCCTTATAAGTTATGGATGTTCTTCTTAGGAATAAGGCCTTTCCTACTCCTGCCCTGGTATATGCCCATAAGTCTGGTCATCTCCAAACATTATCATCATCATCATCATCATCATCATCATAATAGCTACCATTAATTGGCAGTTCCAGGAGAAAGATGCCAGGCTAGAAGGAACTTTTCTCTAGTATAACTCAGACCTGTGCACTTTGGGGAAAGAGAGGACCTCATGGCCTCAGTAACAAGTGGCTAGATTGAAGGAGGCAGTGCTTTAAGAAGACTTTATACACAATATTTATATGTTATTTCCTCCTAAGCCAATGATGGTAAGGCAGATCTAGTTAACTGATAGCAGCTGCCTGAAGAAGCACTGAGAAGCAATGTGATGCTTTGTACAGGATGCTTAGAAGGAGGAAGAAATGGCAGCACCGACAGGCAGCCTTTGCTGCTGATCACAGGGTGAGATTGAGGAGGGAGGTGGAGACACAGGTACGTCGCGTCTGCTCTCCCTGATTTAAATACTGCCCTTGGTGTTCATTCAAACCTGACTTCCCTGTAAAGGAACGGCTCCCTCAACCTGGTTGCCGGGAGGAGCACTTGGTCTTTAACGTGACCAGTACAGAAATTCTTCCCTTATAGCTTGCAGTGAGAAGTGGCCTGTTATTCAAATATGATACTGTAGCAAATGTAGCTATTCAATGTGTTTTAACAATTCTGTTTCAGATCTATAGTCTCAAAATGCAGTAAGGGCAGCCCCAAGCCTTCTAAATGACAGGACTTAAACTGGCTATCATGTATGTGTAGCCGGTTATACTGTCAATAGAAAAGGTGAATCACTGTAACCTTAGGGGCCAGTCCATGACTCAGTTGATCCAGAGTGTAGTCATCTAAGTGATCCATTCACATCGCTGTGCAGTTGGTCATAAACACAGCAGGATCACCAGATGAATCTGTGACACTATG